TACTGACTAGCATCAAGAACTTGGATGGGTGTAGTCTTAAAGATGTTCTTGTAATACAAGAAGGATTGCATATGCAGAAGGTTTAAATAGGTAAGACCTCTAGTTGGCTTGCAGATATGGCATCTAGTATAGAACTTATATAGTAATATATAAATAAACTATTTAAATTAGGCACCAAAAGTGCACATGTGGCTAGTTGTAACCTCCAATATAAGGTAGTCCTTGGTGGCATACTATGTCTTATATATTTAAATAAAAATATTGCATTCTAAAGTTAGAGACTTTAACATTAAAAAAAATAATTTAAATTATTACAAGTTTAGTAATTTATATATAAAAATTAATATTTGTTTTAAAATAATTTTTTTTTAGTTTTAAAAACATAAACTTTTAAAAAACTTAAAAAATATTTTAATAGTAAACCTAATATTATATAATCTTTAAACTTTAAAAAATTAAATCTAATATTATACAATCTTTAAACTTTAAAAAATTAAAAGTTTTTTAATAAAATTAAAAATATTTTTTTAATAAAATTTATAAAACAGATTTTTAAAAATATTTTTTAGTAAAAAGTATATTGCTAAAATTAATTTTTTTTTTTTTTTTTAGTTAGAAGTAGCAGTTTTGTCTATATATCTTTATTAAATAACATATAATTGTATATTTTATATACAATAGTCTATTAACAAAAATATAACTAGTTATATATATAACTTTAGTTATTATTTAATTAAGAGTTTTACTTATAAGTTACTTACTAAATGTTATACCTATAACTTGTCTGTGAGTCTTTTATTTAAACTTTCTAATTTTTAACACTTATTGCATATATATGCAATATTTATATTATTATTATAGTGATATATCAGGTTAGGGCTATCTTAGTTACTATTTATATCAAAGTACTATCTCATTGGATGTTACTAAGTATTCATATTCTTTCAAATTTACTCTTAACACAAGCTTATTAAGCTGATATCAAGATTATTACTTAAAATCAATTTAGTGTATTCTAGATTTATTAAACTAGTTTTAATGTCAGAAGTGTTCAAAGTTTAGTAAGTTTATTTCTTTTCTGAAGTTTTTTTTTATATTCACTGTTCATTTGCTAGTGCATCTTCTCTTTATTTCTGGTATGTTTATTGCTTCTTTCATATTAAGTACCAATTTTTTATATTAAAAAATTTCTTTTTGAAAACTTTTTTATATATTAATCTTTTATTTATATAAACTTAACTACAAAGCTTTATGTATATTCATATGTTTTTATAGATTACAGAGTTTTGCCTATAGCTAGAATTGAATTATTGACTTTGTCTATAGAAAAAAGAGCAACTTGACCACTAGGTTATAAAACTCTATTTTACTAAAATTAATTGTTAAAGTTTTATTACAAAAATTAATTTTAAAAAAATTAATACAAACAAATTTGTTTATATTATAATTTAAAGAATTCTATTTTAATTTTTATTTAATATCAAACTGTTTCTATTATATTTAACATAAAAATATAATTTATTTATTTGTTTATAATCTATATATATTTAATTTATAAAATATTTTATTTATTTATATTATATATAAAATAATTAAATATATTTAATATAAAGGGTATAGCAACCTAGTAAAGTGGTCAGGTTGTCAACTCCCCAAGTAGTAGATTGGATGTTCAAATTCTATTGATGGTAAAAATTTGGATAATCACCTATATAATATTCATATTATGGCAACTGTACTAATGATTGGGTTAGAATACCTGTAATAGTAGTCACACTAGCATGACTGGCAGATTATAGGGCATCTGTATAAATATAGCATTATACAGAGAAATGCAAACTGACAAATCAGACAGTGCAAACACTAGATAAGTTCTTGTGATTATGTAAATCTATTGAAATTGGGTAACAAGAAGTCCATTTGGGAAGACCTGAATAGAGAGGTAGCTGAATCTTTGATGGCCCTACTGTAAAGGCTAGCTCAGGGAAACAGATACCAAGGTTGTAGTACCTGGTTATAGTAGCCGAACAGGCAAGAACTTCCAAGTTGGAAGTCTCGAAAGTACCACCAACTAGGCTATTAGAATGAACCAAAAGAAAAAAATATTGGACCAATCCGATATACTAATGAACTGATCATAGTCCTACATGGGCTATCTGGATTAGAAGTTTGGTAAAAAGGCAAATGAAAAGGCAGGGGTATACTAAAGTATCAGGGTTATGCTGTGAAGTAGATGCTGGGGTCTAAGTAAACTCTATATAGGCATAGTAGTTTAATAGTCAACCCTAATTACAAGTGTTGGTTCTGCTATAGTGATATCTAGATTAGTTGTAAAAATAAATACAAAAGGCTCTGGAGGGTTTACTTTAAGGATAAATTAGTCCTAAGGTTGAGATGATGATCTGGGCATCTGAGTATGATTCAGTAAGTTAACACAGATTACAGATTTAGAAGGTTTAAATTGGAACACCCAAGCAGAGGTGTTAGGTACAGCAATTGGTAGAGAACCTTTGGGCAGACTCTTTAAATAGGTAATATAGAAAAGTTACATGTGTAGCCAATTGTACTCTTTCCTGTAGTGGTTTATTAAACCACAATACTGATAAGTGATTAATAAAAGTCAAAAGACCAAAGAGGTTACCTTAATACCAAAAAAAAAATATATATATATTTAATATATTAGATATTTTTACTGTATATATTTAATTTTTGAAATATATATTTATTACAAAATCCAATACTATTCAATATATATTAATCTTATTAATATTAAACTTATTAATATTAATTTAAACTATATAGCAAATTTTTATAAATTTTTATATATCAAAATTCTTTTATTTCTTAAATTATAATACAATCAAATTTACTTGTATTAATTTTTTTAAAATTAATTTTATAATAAAATTTTAAGAATTTTTTATTTTTTTTTTTTGCTTTCGCTAAGGCTGTAGTTATCAGTAACTATTGTCTTTATTGTAATTTAATTATGATTACATAACTGTACAAGGTGAGTATACAACTAGCCATATGTACAACTTTTGGTTGTCTAATTTAAATATTTTGCCCACACAACAGGTTCTATACTAGCTGCCATATTTGCAATCTACTAGAAGATTACTTATTTAAACACTTTGATCTTTATACTTATACTGACAAATAGTGCACAAGTTCCTGTACATCTAAATGCTGTTTAATCTAACTGTAACCTCTTTGTCTGTATATCTATTAAGCTGTTACACATTTCAAAGTATGTTATCTAACTTGTAAGGCTCCAGTAAGCCTCTCTGCTAACTAACTACCCATATTTAGTATCTTGTTAACAGGACTTGCCCTTGCAAAGTTCATCTAGACCTCAGTACTGACTTCATAGCATATTCCTAGTACTTTAGTATTTTCCTGTTTCTGATCTCAAATTCCCAATCCAAATAGTCTAATAGAACTATGACCTGTCTCTGATACTCCAGAGTCTGCTCTCCAAGGTTTTTTTTCTTCAGTTCAAGACTTTCGATAGCCTAATTGGTAATACCTCTCACCTGAAGTTCTTGTCTGTCTGATTTCTTTTATATTGATATCTGTTTCCTAGGTCTAGTCTTTACAATAGTATTGTCAAAGATCCATATTACCTTTCTATTTGAATCTTTCCAAGTGGGCTTCAGTTTTCCCAGTTCATAGATTTACACAGCCACAAGGACTTATCTTGGGTTTGCACTGTCTAATGCCAATTTGCATTTCTTTGTGTAACTCTAAAATTGCACAGATGCCCTATAATCTGCCAGTTATTTGGTGCGACCATATTACAGGTACTGATTCCAACTAATCGACAGATTGCCATTGTCATAATACCGAATACAAAAACTTATCTTGAGTTTGCACTGCCTGATACTAGTTTGCATTCCTTTGTATAACTCCAACATTGCACAAATGCCTATAGTACTGATAAATATAAGTGGTTTTTCAAATTTTCACCATTGGTAGGTTTTGAACTCCCTACTTACCACTTAGGAATTGACAACTTATCCACTTTACTAAGTCACCACACCCCCTAATAAAATTTTAATAATTAATTTTTTAGCAATATATTTTTTTAAAAAATATTTTTAAACCCCTATTTTATTAAGTTTGTTAAGAAACTTTTTTAAATTTATTAAAAAATTTTTAATTAATTAAAGTTTAAAGGTTATATAACATTAAGATTTATTATTAAAAATAAATACTGCAAAAAAATAATTATTATTTTTATACTAAATTTTATTTAAATATTTTAGTATTTCAAAAAAATAAATTAAAATCAAAAAAATATAAAAATACAACCAAATTTGTTTGTTTTAGCCTATGATTTAAGGGATATATATAAATTTTAATATAATTTTTCATTAATATTACTATTAACATAATTTAAAACAATTCAAATAGGTTGGTATTAACAAGAATGACCTGTACTTCTTTTTTTATTTTTAATTCAAAATACAATTCTAATTATATTTTCTAATTTCATCAAACTAATTCTCAAAAAATTAACAACTAATTTTTTTTTATTTTTCTTTCTAACTCTTTATTAATATAATTTAACAAACCAATTTGATATAATTGAAATTAAAACAACATAAATGTAAAACTTTTTGTAATATTTCTTATAAACGTAAAAAGAACCTAAATGATATATTTTCAATATTTTAAATCAACACAAAAAACTTTTTCTTTTTTAATCTTAATATTGATAATTTTATTTAAAAATACTAACTTTATAGTTATCATTTAACTGCTTTTGTTAACTTATAATAACAAAGTTTTCTTAACCCTTTTGTAGCTAATAATAATTTATATTTTAATTGTATTAGTGCACAGAACTATAACATGGATTAATTGCATAACAATAAAATAGTAATAAGTGTTTGTGAAAAGATGTATCATGGATTTCTTTGATGATTTTATTTTTTTAAAAAGGAATAAGTCAATTCACTAAAGTTTCATCAATTGTCAAAAGTTTTATTAATTCATCATAGGTTTCGCCCATTCGTCATAGGTTTCGTTAATCCATCATAGGTTTCATCAATCGCCAAGGTTTTGTCTCTAAAAATTTTTCAAAAAACGTATCCCGACTTTCTCCAGATTATTATTCTATTATCGTTCTGGAAAATGCTCATTTTCGGAACAAAACATATATAAATTCCTGATCATTTCCATAGAATAAGATTTAGGTTTTAATTATAATAAAGTACAAAATATTAGAAACCCGATTTGATTTTTACCCAAAATTACTGGGATTCTATGAAGATGACCAGGAATTTGCATATGTTTTGTTCCAAAAAATGAGAACGATAATCTGAAGAGGGTCAGAATACGTTTTTTTTAAAAATTTTTATAGGTCATGACGAAACTATGATGAAACCTTTCGTCATCGCAAAAATAATTTCGTCAGGCATCATTATTAATATAAGTCCCCTGAGCTGAAATTAATATTAATATTAAACAACTAATCAGCCTAAATGTAAGAGTTATTCTTTCAATCAGTATAGATTAAAAAATTAAACTAATAATTAATTTAATGAAAACCTAGATTATATAGCGATATATATATGCATCAAGAAAAGTATTCTGTACGATTCACAAATTTGGACACCTTACGTAAAACATTAGTACGTATAAAAAAAATGTACCGTATAGCGTGGACTAAAATGCTTTCACGATTTTCGAAGGCCTAGAATGTAAAGTACCCGGGTACTAAGTTGCACTTGGGAATGTAAAATACCAGATGGATTAATTTCACTTGGAATATATGCAAATATTACTGCGGCACTCATATAGCACTATAGTATCCATCCGACTACGTATAATAACCGTATACACAGCTTAAATTAAAGTACCCTGGATATTTTAGTCCACTCTGTACGGTAACCTAAAGTTTTCTTTTCATTATCTTAGAAACAGCGCATATATCAGTTTTTCAAGTTCGTAAACCAATTTAAATAGGGCTAAAATAGGGCTAATAAAAAATGAAACAGTTTACATAAAGTGACAAAATTTTGATTTATGTAATGATAATGCAGACATTAAATAATTAATGAGTTCGGCGTAATTTTTTTTTTTTTTTTTTTTTTTTGCGTTAAAAGTTCTGCGTATATTCTTTTAATTTGCAGGAAAAAAAATATTGAAAATGATCTGTAATATTAAAAGCAAGATCTGCGCCAAACGTAGGATTCCGCTGCCGCAGGCTTCTGAACATTCAATACTATATATTGTCAAGAAAATTTGCTCTTTTACTATCGCTACTTGATTTAATAGGAGGGTAAATTTATTGTGTTATATAGCCTTAAGATTACTGATAAATGAAATGTGTGAACTTTATGTCATGACAATTTGATCGCTTACGTTAAAAGTGACACGAACACAAATTTAATTAAAATTTACTTTATCCAGTAATTCTGTCAATAGTACGGGACAGGATAAGACACTTTTTATTGAATTGTTATAACTTTTTTTTTAAACAGGTTGAAGTAAAAATTCCAATTTTTGTAGTATTTTATTTATTTATTTAATCAAAATACTAGTAGAAGGATTTTTTTAAAAAAAATTCTAACGGTGACTTTAGAAATTTGGCATATATGTGTACATATAGTTTTACGATTTAATTGGTTAAGATTTTTCTTAATATAAACATTTTACACTGATATTAAAAAAATGTATATCTTATGCTGTCTTTTAATAACACTGTACGTAAGAAAAAATTCTTATCATTTACTGTTTATTTGATTATTAAAAGAAATCAAGAATCTACATAGTATTTGTGCAAATAAATAGATATGCAAGTATTTTATTAACTTTGTAACATTTGTTCGGAATTCTAATATGTATGAAAAACTGTTTGGTGATGCGGTTTATCTAATAAGGCTAAGCACGAGCCACAATGATCAAAAAAAACATAAATATCCAGCATTTCCGAATTGAATTCTAAACTTAATATTATATACTTTTTCTTTTATTATTATTATTATTAATTTTTTTTTTTAATAATATCCTTTTTCCTTTGAATATGTATGACTCAAAAGTTAAAGAATCATCATTAAATTTCGATCTGAAAAGATATGAATTTTGTTCAGACTTTAGCATCTTTGTTATAAATGAGTCTTTACAAGAAAGTGGAGGACAAAATTCAAACATAACTACAAAAGAATATAAAGTTCATCGATATGTTTTATCTCAACAATCTGATTATTTCAAAGTACTATTTGAGTCTTCTCGAAATTTCGTTGAACACAAAGAAAATGCTGTTGTGATTCGGTTAAAAGATCCTTTCAACGTCTTTCCGCAAATTCTTTGTTATATGTACACTGGATACATTTCTATTAATCACAAAACCCTCATTTCAATCCTTTCAATATCTGATCGATTCGCGATCGAAAAACTTACCATACATGCCACAACATATTTCGATAACTTTTACGATTATAAAAGGAAAATCCCTTTAAACTTGTCTTTTATTTCTGCTCAAGAAATATATACATTATATTTAGATGCAATAGAGAATGAATTTGAAGAGGTAATACCTGATTGGCTTTTGGCTATTGCATTCGATGAACTTTGGGAAATCGATAATGATGTGATGAGCTCTGTAAGATTGGATCGTGTGCTAAAATGCGATTGTGTTAAACTAAAAAATGAGGATCAGAAATTTTCAGTTATTAGAAAGATCGTAGCAGATTTCTGTGGTACTGAAGAATATGATGAAACATTTGAAGAAAAGTGGAATAAAATGGCATTAAAAGTTGCAATGCCTTTTCCCGATATATTAGAAGATTCTAGCGAAGATTCTAGCGAAGAAAGTGCCGTAACAGAGGCACAACAAAATGAAAATTCTACTAATGAAATAGGTGAAGAGACTGAAAAGCAGATTGATGATGGTAATTCAAGCTCAACATTATGTTCTCAACAGACGAATGGTAGTGTTGAGAATGATGTTAATGAAGATGAACATTTGGAGTTTACTTTGCATGATATAAAAGAGGCCTATGAACGATTAAAGCATAATAATATGTTGTACGAATGGTTCAAACTTGTTAATTATTCTTTACTCGATCCGATGAATTGGGAAGGTGCTCTCGCAGATAATTTGATACCTAATAAACTCGTCTTGCAAGGATTATTTGAGGTATTAAAAAAAGATGATATTGAAAAGGAATCTTCAAAATCGTATGTATTTGATTATTTTATGTTCAAGACATTTCGGAATTTTGAATCTTATAAAATATTTATATGTTAAAAAAAATTTAAATTGTCAAATTATAACTACCCAATACATATTCTTTTTGATAACACACATATTATGGATCCATCGTCATAACCATCAAATTAAAGACCTATCACTGTCCCGCCGATCCTACAATCATTGTCTTCAACTTCTAATTCTACTTCAACAATCGAATATACCGACTGCTTACATTTTACAACGAAACCATATTATAGTGACATTAAAATTTGCATTAACAATGAATGTTACGAATTTCACAAAATTATTCTGTCGATACAGTCCACATACTTTCGTGACTATTTTTCAACTTCACAGGGTCAACTCTCAAAAGAATGGGTCTTTCCTTGGTATAATCTTCACCCACACCTTTCAACTGGTCTACTCAATATGATACAACTACTTTATTACACTCATGCATTTCCACTCGACATTAAAAACATAATTCCAATCTTGTTTGCTTCTCTGGAAACAAGTACCCAGTCGATAATAAGTCATTGCATGAAATGGATATCTAAAAATAAACATTTTATATTAGAACTAGGTTGTGGAGTATCGGATTCATGGTTAGCAAAATCTCGACATCAACATATGATTCGTAAAAAAGTTGTCTACCTAGTTTCTGAAAATTTTGAAGATTTTCAGGATTACTTGAATAATAATCATAATATAACAAAAGATCTGATTTTGGACATTTTAAATAATCCATCATTAAATTGTAATGAAAGATCGAAGATCCAATTATTTTCTTGCGTATTGGATAAATGGTTCCCTAATGCTAAGAAATCCGATTTATCAAGTACCGAAGCGAATGATCAAAAATTGACCGAGATCAGGACTTTAATCATAAAATATATTAATCATAAAAAATTATTGGTTCCTGATTTAGAATTTCTTTCAAAACAATGGTGGATGCCAAAGGATTTATTTCATTCTTGGATGATCGAATTAGCAAAAGAAAAAAGAAAAAAATGAAAATGAACCTCTTTTCTTATTCATTTATATAATTTCAAGCATTGTTATATATATCTTTTCTCTGATAATCTAGAGAAAAATTTTTATCATTTTTTGCATCTCATGTAATTATAACAGTTTATTTCAAATCATGAACGCTCCTTTGACAATAAATCACTATCAAATCAGGACTATATCTAAATATATACTCTTCAATATCTGATTTAAAAAACAATTCATTGTTGATTCTCATTTAAATTTTCACCAAATTTATTGTAGAAAGGTTCAATTCTTTATAAATAATTTAAAACCCTTTTATTATCAAATCTTTATAAACGCTATATAATGATAAATAGTAAATATGAAAGAATACTTAAAGCGCGGACAAAATCCAAGTTAGTACCCGGGTATTTTACTTGGCGATTTTTCATATGAGAAGTTTTTTTACATAGGATATATCCGCCGGGTATTTTACATTCCTACCATATCGACATAACTTTTTTGAGGTAGGTACTTTGATATGAGAGGGTACTATGGTCCACGCTATACGGTGAAGTTAAATGATAATTTAATGCCGCAAAGCTATTCTTGTATATTGTAACTCTTAAAGTGATCGAATTGTATAGTGGCGAATGCAAATATTAAAGAATTTATCATATTTTGAGTAGTGAATATTTGATCTCCAAATATTATCATTGTAACTGTACAGTGCAAATTAAAAAAAAAAATCAAATCTCCAAGTCTTAACATGTCTTCATCGATGATTTTATTAAACGTACGTCGTTGACTTTTTTTAAAAAAATACATCAATTAATATTCACTAAACATTTTTGAGTTTTTTCTTTGAGTTTTGTACTTAATCTATTCATCTCTCTTAAAAAAATAATTTTATTAATATTATTAAACATTATTCCTTATAAACTATTACATTTTATCTCTATTTTCTCATTCTTATAACATTATTATTATTATTTATTATTTTTTTTTCCCTTAAGTAGTCATGCTAGTACTTTATTAAGATTCTTGAAACTATTTTTGCAATTATATAGAAATACTTAACAATTAAGTTTAGCATCATTGGTTATCTTGTTACATTACTCCAAACAGAAGTAGGTTGCTTGTCTAACTATTTAAAGTTTATAATAAAAGGTCTTCTTTCTTTTATGACAAGCCTTAATATTATCTTTGTAATTTGTTTTTTTTTCTTGTTTGTTTTGTTTCTTTCTATTTTTTACTAATTCATTCTTTTTTTTATTTAAGTTTTTTTTTTTTTTTTTTTTTTTTTTTTTTAACCTTAAGCAGTTACACTAGTATTTTATTAAGA